GCTGAAAGGTATCCATGAAGAAGAGGAAGAAGAAGACAAGGGTAAAGATACAAATTTTGAACAACAAATACACACCTATCAACAAATGAATCTGAAAATCAAGTGAATAATCTGATGAACAGAATGAACTGGTGATTATAATAGAATCAGGGGCATAGAAAGGGAGTGGACTGACTATTCTTGCGGGGGAAAGGGGTGTGGGGGATGTGGGAAGAGACTGGACAAAAATCGTGCACCTCTGGATGAGGACAGTGGGTGGGGAGGGAGGGAGGAGGGTGGGGTGGGAACTGGGTGGAGGGGAGCTATGGGGGTAAAAAAGAGGAACAACTGTAATAATCTGAACAATAAAGATTTAATTAATCAAAAAAAAGAAAAATTTAGCAAACTAGGAATAGAAAGTAAATTTGTTAATCTAATAAACAATATCTATTTAAAAAACAATAGCAAACATCAATTAAATAGTGAAACTTTGAAAACTTTCCCTTTGAGACCAAACAAGGGTGCCCTAGCAGGTGTGGCTGAGTTAATTGAAGCATTGAGTGGTATGCTGAAAGGTGGAGGGCTTGATTCCAGTCAGGTCACATACCTACTAGTAGATACCTAGATTGAAGGATCGATCTCTCTCTCTCTCCCTCTCTCCCCTCCTTTCTCCCATCCTCTCTCTAAGACCAATAAAAGAGAAAAGAGAGAGAGATCAAACAAGCTTATTTCCACTTCTTATCCATCATCAAGTCTTAATAGTTCTATTTCCAATATATATTCCAAACCCATTCACTTCTATCATTAGTACTACCACTGTAGTTCAAGCTACCATTATCACTCGTGTACAATACTGCAATATCCACCTTACTGGTATCCCTGTTTTCACTCTTATCCTCCCCATTCCCCCACCCCTCGCCCATCCTTTTTCCACATATTAGGCAGTTATCTTCCCCTACTTAAAACTCTTCAATGGCTTCCCATCATACTGAGATAAACTTCACCAGGACCTACCAAAGCTCTACAATACCTGATCCCTATCTGTCCCTCAGATTTCATACTGTCTCTCATATCACTGTCTTCCTTATTCACCATGCTGGCCACACTAGCATTTCTATTCTTGCACACACAAAGCTCTTTCCTGAGTCATTAAATTTACATTCTCCCTTGTCAAGAAAGCCAAGAAAAGCATGCTTTGTAGCACTGCATATGTCTCCTTTGTAATATTACCACACTGTCATTTAAGTCTGTTATGTAAATTAATTTATTCCTGTTATCTCCCCAAACTATCCTTGCCCCAACAGTAAACTATTTTTTAAAAATATATTTCATTGATTTTTTACAGAGAGGAAGGGAGAGGGATAGAGAGTTAGAAACATCGATGAGAGAGAAACATCAATCAGCTGCCTCCTGCACACTCCCCACTGGAGATGTGCCCGCAACCAAGGTACATGCCCTTGATCGAAATCAAACCTGGGACTCTTGAGTCCGCAGGCTGATGCTCTATCCACTGAGCCAAACCGGTTAGGACTACAGTAAACTATTGAGAATAGGGCTGGTGTCTCTTAAGTTCAGAGTCCAGCATAGTACCAATTTGCTGAATGAGTAATTAATAAATAATTCTTAAAAGTTACTTTATGATCACTGACTTGCATATTTTTCTCTTTTTGAGAGTATTTTAAAATTCAGTAACATATTCAAATTCACAAATAATGATATTAAATACTATCTAATCAGAACCACCTAAACATCTTCACTGTTTAAAATTAGCGAGCATCATTCCTGTCTAATCTATAAACTAGCTGGCACTTATGTGGAGAGATTAAAAAATTATTTAAGTCTCCTTTTAAAATTATTCTATTTATCACATAACTATAAGTTCCAACTTCAACAGAATTAGGAGACCCTAGATTCCCATGTTAAGCCTCATTTATAAAATTCTGTTATGGCCTGGCGGGCTTGGCTCAGTAGTTGAGCGTCGACCTATGAACCAGAAGGTCATGGTTACACCTGGGGTGCTACTGTATACTCACAGAGGTGTCCTGAGATATTTTAAAGTTTGTGAGAAATGGCAGTTCCCAACATGTCAGGCACTGCATGAACTACTAGCTCAAAATAGTACCTATTTGTATTACATTAGTTTTGATAACATATAGGATGTCCCCCAAAAATGTATACACACTTTGAATGATTATAAATTCAGAATTTATTAACATACAGTTCATTTCCAAAATTTTAAAGAAGCTACATAAATGAATATATATATATATTTTTTTTTCTCAATGGCTGTTTTCAAACTGATGACCATTCTGGTCCAGGCACTGCTGAGAACTTGAAGCAATGGAATCACAAACATCAAAATCATTTCGTTGAGTATTTGTGTGTCCTCAATTCGTCGAATGTTGCCAGTATCCCCATAAAAAGTCTAATGGATAAATTTTTTGTTGTTGTTCAGAGCTTAGTCTAACTTCACCCTTTATTTCAAATCAGTTAAATCTGAAAAGGACTGAAAATTAAGTGTTAAAGTGTAATCAGCTGTTAAAATGTGAGTAAATTTTGAGGGGGCAACACCCTGTGAATAATTATAAAGGCAGTGTTTGTACTTCAACTGCGTTTTTAGACTTCCAGTAGCATTTTAGGATGAACTTCCTTTGTTCAAAGCTTAGTCTGGCTGAAAAGAAACACTAATTGAGCTATCAGCTGTTAAAGTGTGTATACATGGGGACACCCTGTATTATTGCAAAGCTGGGTCTTTGGCAGATGCTGTGATATAAAGCAGTTCTTTTAATCAATGTGGTACAGGAAATGAGGGAGGCAGTGGCGGATCTAACTCCAAGATTTGAAAAGCTGTGCAGTGCTCAACAGGCACACATATCCAATCTATAAAAATAAAAGTGTAATATGCTAATTAGACCAGACGTCCTTCCGGACCAAGCCACAGCGGGCAGCGGGTGGGGGGCAGCAGGTGGGGGCCAGGCAGAAGTGGCAGAGGCCTGAGGCCATCGTGGTGGTGGGGGCCAAGCCCCTTGCACGAATTTTGTGCATCAGGCCTCTAGTTAGTAAATAATTGTGATTATTAATAAAATTAAGCCCTAACTGGTTTGGCTCAGTGGATAGAGCATCGGCCTGCAGACTGAAGGGTCCCGATTCCGGTCAAGGGCATGTACCTTGGTTGTGGGCACATCCCCAGTAGGAGGTGTACAGGAGGCAGCTGATCGATGTGTCTCTCTCATCGATGTTTCTAACTCTCTATCCCTCTCCCTTCCTCTCTGTAAAAAACCAATAAAAATATTTTTTTAAAGAATAAAATTAAAATATATTTTCCTTTAATTTATGCATATTATTATTTTTAAAAGGCTACTATGTAGTTAGGAAATACATTTGTTTCAACTTAATAGCAACTCTTTAAGTTGTCTGGACCTAACTATTTAACAAATGGAACCCATAAGTATTTCTTTTGGCTGAAAATTTAGGAACTACGAGTCTAAATAACCCAGAGGTCTACAAACAAAGCTACTGGGCCAAATGAGGCCTTAAAAGTGGTGTGTGTGTGTGTGTGTGTGTGTTTGTTTTTTTTTACATTTTGAATGGGTTGTAGAAAACAAAACACAACAAATAAAAAAGAATATGTGACAGAGACCATGCCAGCGATCATATAGTCTGCAAAGCCTGAAATATTTACTTTCTGGCTCCCTGTCCACTCCTGTACTTACACTAGCAATTACTAGAGTTAATGTGTTCCATGGCGTCCACTGACAGGCTCCCTTCCAGTGCTGTCCAACACAGTAGCTATTTAAACCTAAGTTAATGAAAATAAAATTTAAAATTCCCTCCTTCAGTCACAGGGGCCACATTCCAGGTGCTCAATAGTCGCATGTGACTGCAGGGTGGCGAGCTGAACAATGCAGATGTAAAACACTACCATCATCACGGAGCCTTCTATTGGACAGCTGTCCCACCAGTATCCAGAGTGGCTAATACAGTCAGTTTCTTACTTCTCATCAAAAACACCATCAGTGCTACCAGGCCCAACATTTTTACTCAGTTTTCATCTCTTTGACATCTTGTACACATTCCCAGCCATCACACAGTCATGGAGAATCACACTGCTTTGAACTTGACCTTCAATTAGCAAAACCTTAGGGTACATTTACCTCCATGTCATTCCTCCAAGTTACAGCTCAGATGCCGCTTTCTCCGGGAGGCCTCCTTTCGTCTCCACAGTCAGAGGTATCAATCAGGCCCTCCTCCTCCGTGCCCCACACAACTGTGACTCGCTCTATGTTCCTTCACCTGGCTTGTACCCTAACCATTTGTGCACCCTGTTCCCTTTCTGGACTGTGGGCTCTTTTGGATTGGGGACTCTGAACCAGCGGCTCCCCGCCCTAGCCTAAGGCTATATGACACCTGATACATAATCTGAGGAATTTGATTGATCTAATTCAATTGAAATGAAAGCTTCAATCTTAATATCTAGAGCAGCGGTTCTCAACCTGTGGGTCGCGACCCCTTTGGGGGGGGAGTCAAACGACCCTTTCACAGGGGTCGCCTAAGACCTGCGGAAAACACACATATAATTACATATTGTTTTTGTGATTAATCACTATGCTTTAATGATGTTCAATTTGTAACAATGAAATTGGGGGTCACCACAACGTGCGGAACTGTATTAAAGGGTCGCGGCATTAGGAAGGTTGAGAACCGCTGATCTAGAGCGCAAGCTCTGCTTAGGCTTCTCTGACATGTCTGTGAACTTATGGGCAATTTTCAAAGATTTTTTTTTCTTCTTAAACTCTAGTATTAAGATAAACAAGCAAGAAAAAGGGGCTTTCACTCTGAGCTAATAATGGGCAGAGGAAAGGTTTGTGAAAGCTTATTTTTTGGAGGACTAATACCGGCCTATTTGCTAATATTTTATCTGCCGGAAACGGAGCGTCTGTTCGGTGCCGGTAGCACCCCAAACTCTGTAAATAAACCACGACAGGCCGAGAGTGTGAAATCACTCGCTGCTGTCAGGTCATTTACAGCAAAGAACAGACGGGGTCGGAAACACGAACCGCGGGAGCCCCGCAGGGAAGAAGAGCGGCGGGCGCGAGGACGGGCGGGGGAGCGCG